ATAATTCTTATAATGACAGATTTAAATATGTATTTTTACTTCAGTCTTCACAGAAGTACATAATTACTTCGAATTTAACGTGTAATTTTAATTGTATTGACCAGTGACGGTTAATTTATTGGTTACGGTCTACCGTCTATAATTCCTTACCTGTAGTTGTAATTCGGGTTTATTTTAAACTACCATGACTGTATTTATCGTCTGCCAAAGTTGGCTGCAGAAGTGCGAAAACCAGTCATAGCTTGTACGTGTATTTCCAACTTCATATTTACTATATTAACAGTAAACGTTTTGAAGGTACTGCGCAGTGCGTTTTGAGTTTGGTTTCAGTGAGAATTAATTGTTATCTTGGCCCATTATGTAAACAGAACTTTGCTTGATTAATTTCTGTGGTTGCCAAACATACTCATGTAATACTTTCGCTCTACAAAGTTTGTTATAAACACAAACCGCATCCCTCTGCGTTTACATTTCAGTGTTTTTAAAACTCTCGTCAAAAGTAACACTCCCATCTGTCAGTAGGAACACGTCAGGGTGTATTTTAAACACGACTAACCATGATATTCCGTGCCCCGAATTACAGTTCACCTTGCACGAGGCACAACCCCCAAAACTGCTCCACTCATCTTATTCGATAGTAATTCATGTCCGCGTATTTCTGAGTACGGCACATTTTTGCCCATCATTCTCTTTCGACACGCACGAAGTTTTAGGGGTTTTGCTGTAGCTGCTTTTCTTATCGCCGCTATATTATAAGAAATAGTGCGAGACCTACTTGTGACGACTTTGAAAATACTAGATACTTCTGATTACCTTTTGTATTACTCCATTTGTCTCGTCTGACTGACTACTAAAGTTTTTCTGGCTAGTTGTAGATATACTCAACTTCTAGTTACTAGTAGTTGGGGTGGCTGTGTGGAGTGTATAAAAACCTTGTTCCGACGTGCGAGGCCCCTTCATTGTACGAGGCCCCTTCATTGTGCGTGGCCCCTTCATTATGCGACGCCCCTTCATTGTGCGTGGCCCCTTCATTGTGCGAGGCCCCTTCATTGTGCGAGGCCCCTTCATTGTGCGAGGCCCCTTCATTGTACGTGGCCCCTTCATTGTACCTTCGCTGTGCCCTACCAGACTTGGTTGCGCAGCAGATTCTGTAAGTGTAAAGATCTTAGCTGTAGGACAATTAGGTCAGCCAGGTAATCCTAATCACTGCTCCCTGATCCTACAATGAGGGTATTTTAGAGGAAGTCTACGCTATGACGCTCTCTCGACATGTTCGAATATTCAAGATTGGATTCATAATCACCGATCCAAATTCTTCTCATTCTGCAATCCTTTTACATCCTGTTATAGGCTCATGATTCTTTTCAAAAAGCGCATCTTTGATACATCTTTTCGCCTACAGCTCCGTTCGGGTAGTTATATATTATAGCACAATGATTTAATCTTTCAAAGTATTATTATTAGTATACAGCTGCGTTATTTATCGTAATTTATTTATTATCTATAGTTTTAGGTCGATTTGGCTTCGTCCCGTTCATTAGCTGCCGTTAATATTTGGTATATATAATGGATAATGGTGAGTTGTGGCTTGTCACAGTATGTTACTTAAAGTTACAACTTTTATAAAGATTTGGTACTAATATAAGTGTTGGGAGATAAAGTTCCCTAACCAGCACATAATCTTGCTTACTTTATTTTCTTTGGAATACCTTGGAAAACTTGATAGCTATAACAGTAGTATTAACTTATTATCATATTATTATCTGACGTTAGGATAAAAATAGAGACGTTTCCTAGTCGTTGCAGGAATTTATTGTTACAAAACGCGAAGGAAACAGATACATGATATAGTGATATAAGTTAAAATTCTTGCTCACTATTCTAACCTACATATTATGTATTGAAGGGTATTGAATTATTATTATTAATACCATCACCTGAAGAGTTTACTAAGTCGAATCAAATCCTGAGCGGCTTTTCAATCGGTCAGCTAGTTTTCCTAGTTTGACTAATCGTTGCTCTTTTTTGGTCAACAACTTTTTCAATAAAATGGTTTCCATACTGGTACAAATTGGTGTGTGCCACAGTTGTAAGGTTGTTTTGGTTTAAAATGAGGGAATTTTGTCAAATATTCGTGATATGTGAGATATGCACAGTCTCATGCAGTCACTACTAACTGGTTGGTCACTTGTGCATCGAATAGCTTGTCACTAACCGTTGGGACTAACTACGGGTCTAGTATTCTTATTAACACCGAACCTAGGTCTAAAATCACGAACAGATATGCACTAAGTGTTGATACTAACTGTCATTTATTACCTTTGCAGATGTGCAGAATTTCTTATATCTTTATTTTTAGAATTTTATTATTCTTAAAATTTAGTATTTTATGTTAACAAGAGATGTCAAGTTAAGCTATGTGATCGAGAGGTCAGATGGAGTGTGTGTGGTGAAGCAATATGGGCATGCGTTTAGACTACCTGAAAATAGCCATACATCTCTAGCATTAGTTACTAAAATAAAGTATTTTTGTGCAGTTTTAAGAAATAGAAGTGGTAGATTTTTTTCCAAATTTTATTTCAATTTGATGTTTGGGTTTTAACTTCTAACTTTACTCACAATTGTTGTGTTTTAAACATACTTTATTATTATTATTAATATTATTAACATATTTTGAATTCTTTAGAAAGTTGCTGTCTATTATTAGATATACTTTACACCATCAACTCTGAATAAAAGTTTAGTAATCTTATGAGGATGCTTTAAGATTTTATTTACAATTTCACATGGCATATTTCTGTTTCATTCATAAGTTATATGTGTATTATGTAACAATCTCATTTTTAGGTTTCTTTATTCTATTAGCAACCTAACTTTGTATGGTAGCTTACCTGTCAAAAGTGTTACGAAGCAGGAAACTAATGGCGGGACACTGCAACTGTAACCTAGCAACTGTAACCTAGCAACTGTAAAGACATCCTGCGCTTCTGGCTAGTGTATCCAGGTTTAATCTTATGGAAATCTTAAAACAGTAACCGCGAATTCTTTGGTTTAGCTATTTTGGTGCGCTGAATTTAATGTTTTACAGTATTTCTAGAGTTCTCACTCCGTGTTACATCACCTAACCACACGCACATTAATTCAGCCATCATTCTGACACATATCTGACAGAAATATCTCATATGTTTTAAATGTGACATATGTTAATTAAAATCTTTAAGTTTAAGTACATCTATGGTATCTCCAGTTCTCGACTATTTATATTTGTGTTTTTAAGTGAAGTCTGTATCAGATATAATTGATTCGGGTTGAACTTTATTTGATGGTCCAAGTTATTTTGGGCATGGTTTACTACCTATGTGTTTGTTGTGTTCAAACAAATACATGTAAAAAAGTACAACAATTAATCATCAAAATGTAAAATAGAGTAAAAATACACCCATCAGCTGTAAAAAACACGGGTTCCCAAACATGTTGATAACAAATGCTAACAACTTATACCTATTTTTATTTAATTGGAACGCATTGTTGAACTTTGAGTTTCAATTTATTGCTTTCCTCATTTTCTTGTCCAACATTGGACTATTTTTATAATTCAAGTACTTGAATATTTTCGATTCTTTATTAATATCAATTGCGAGAGATTCAATTCTTTCAATTTTATACTATTTACTATCTATGTTCATTGGTAAGTATATATTGGTGCGTAGTATTTCCTATTCGACCCAATTTGTTTGATTCAAACACATTGGGTCATAAATTTGTAAACCATTCCTACATTGAAATTTGGTGCAGCATTCATTAAGTAAACACTTGGGCCGATGCAGAATTCAATGTTGCAACATTATTGAGCTTTCAACTTTTCAGAGCCGATAGTTCTTCCTGTCTGTATGATTGTTATTATTAGTTGCAGGACTATCATTAGTCAACAACTAAACAACTTACACCAATACGTGGGGTCGTCCCTATAATACCCTGTAATACCCTTCTTATTTTGTCAAGTGTTAAGCCGAGAACATCTACTGCACTGGAAAATATGAATTATGTGACTAACAAACAATCACCCGATCATTAAATTAAACTATTTAGTGTTTCCTTCCGAGGCTAATGAGAGCCTAATGGGAGTAATGTTACCGTCCCTCATTCTATCACAGGTTCTTCTTGTTTGCTGTACGACACTTTTACCTTCGTCTATCTACATGTACCGTCTCATCTTCCCACGTATAACATGTAGTGAGTTAATGAGTTTAGGAAAATAATTGGAGGGGGATGTAGGTTGCAGAGCAGCGCCAAGATAAGTATGGTTTCTGTCAAATACCGACTACCAAAGTATAAACCACCTGATTTGATCGCATGCTAGATGTTTGTACAAATCCATCAGTTGGATAATCTCATTACGAACTGCTTGATAGTTGCTAGACCACTGGCAAGGAGAATGGAACAACAGTGCGGTTGCCCTTGGTGATAAACCGATGAAATGAGGTAGATTAAATTCTGACAGCAGTTATGACCGCTTTTGTTACCCTATCTAGATCTGCTCATGCGTTTTCAAATAAGTTCCCGAATTTTTCTTTGCATTAGTCGATTACATTAAAGTATTAAGGTATTAAGCGATTGTTTACTGATGATCAAGTGATTGTTTTCTGTTTAGTTTGCAGACTGGAGTAGATGATCTGAAAACCATGTGACATGTCACGTGACAGATCAACACCACGTGTTTTAAAGCTGTAACCCACTGTAACCATAGTAACCCACTGTAACCATAGTAACCCACTGTAACCATAGTAACCCACTGTAACCATAGTAACCCACTGTAACCATAGTAACCCACTGTAACCATAGTAACCCACTGTAACCATAGTAACCCACCGTAACCATAGTAACCCACCGTAACCATAGTAACCCACTGTAACCATAGTAACCCACTGTAACCATAGTAACCCACTGCACCTGCACTGTTTTAAGATTTTTAAGTTTGATAATTTGAACACTACTATTGACTATATAACAAATAATTTGAGGCTCTAATGATGTAGTTTTCCGAAGATTTCAAGCCTTACGTTGTGTGTTTCCCTTCGTGTCCAAAAGCAATATACTATTTTAAGATTCTCGTTCTGCAGTTTTTAACGCTCATTTATGATTATGGTTAATCCCACGTCATCACACATCTCTACAACGTATCAATCACACTTTATGGAATAAGTATATACATTTTTCCCTATCAACATTAATATTAATAATTTATCGAATATTATAATTTAAAAACCTATTCTTTCTTCCCAGGGGATAGGAATGAATATTTATCAAGCGCTTCTTTGCCACATAAGGATGAAACCAAAGATAATCGTTATGTTTCTTTTTATTTTCAATATAATTGCTCCGGGCTCCCTTCAATTCTAAATATAACTTCTACTGTACGTTCCAGAAATAATTACCGTTGCTTAACGAATTAAAAATGCACATTTTCTGATATAATACTCGTTCAGCTTAATATTAAAACCATTACCCTTTCTGAACTTTTGACCTCAGAAAGGAGTTTGTTGAGTTTGTTCCAGTAAGGAATAACTCGCTCCGGAAGAAAAGATTTGAAAAAAATTCTTAATCTGTGTTATTCTGTTGCTTGAAATTAGATCTGCTATTCCGAAATACTCGATCCATAATTATTCAAACCACTTGCTACTTAAAAGCTTCTATGAGGTCCTCGCGTATATTCGCCGCTCTGCCATGCAGTTGTCAAATTGAGGGTCTGTAGCCGTATGGAAGAATATCCATCTTATTGATCAGACGTGTAGACCGCCTCTCGAGTCTGGACGCTCTCCAGCTCCCAGACAATCCCCCAACTTCTATGAGCCGCAACTGGAAATTTCTTACAACTCAAAATGTCTTACAATTCAACAAATCATACGATTTGCATTAGAATTATAAATGCATGCTTTGATCTTTTCATTCCAAAGCAGGACCTCTTCCACGAAACTTGTACTTAACTTTTGTGAACTTGAGCTAAGTGCGTACTTAGCTTGAGTGCGACAATTTCTATTGCTATGGGAAATATTGTAACCTCCATAAATCGTTTCCCTGTGCAGATACTTCAAGTTCTATACCATTTACCTTATAATTTAAATTAGGATTATTGTTCAAGTTGATATGTACTAATTAACATTTGGCAGGATTAAAATGTAAAAACCAAATACTTTCCCACACTTTTAGTTTTTCAACACGTCCGTGGTTAGCTGCATTACCATTTAATTCATGGAAATCAGCAAATAACTTTAACTGATGTTCGATTTTCAACCAATTTATGGTAACATTATTGTCCTAGATTGAAACGCTGCCTCAAATCCTGCATATTTTAAACTAAAATCTGTAGACAGACTTAAAATATGTAGACAGACTAAAAAATCTGTAGACAGACTGCCAACAACTCAAAATTGTGTTTTTACAGAAGCATTTATTGAAATAAAATGAAATTGTCGTTGCATTCCAAATATATACGGTCGACCGAATGTTTTAATATTCGCTCGAATTTCGCTCGATCGATTTTCAGTCGATTCGGTATTCGGCAGTGGAACATATTCGACCGAATATATTCAGTGGTTCGATAATAGGTTACCGAATATTTTCGGTTACCGAATACCGAATCACCGAATATTCGGTCGAATCGAATACCGAATACCGAACTCCAAATCCGAATATTTTCCAAACTATTCGGTAATCCTAGTGCAGACAGCGTTGGCTACCTTTGGTAACCAAAGTTTTAGTCAGACATTTTGCTAACTTCTAGATTCTAGAACTCGAATTAGTCGAATTCCGTTGACAAGAAGTTCCATGACACTTTTTATCGGCTGTGAATGACGATCAACAATATCATGTCAAAATATGGCGTATTCATACTCTACCAAGATTTAATAGGCAATTAAATCTGCTGACGAATAATTTACTCGCATTAAATCTGGTTTACAACAATTTGAGTCAAACTTTTGACTAAATTTGCTGTAGACGAATTATTTGGTTCCTTATAAGGTATGTACAGGCCCACCTGTCTATTTGTTTATTCGGCACATGAGCTGTGTTCAGTTGTCTGATGAAGTTTGAAACAATAAACCACCTTATTCTGTAACGACTTTGTCTGTAAATCCCTTAAACCCTGAAAAGGTTGCATACTGCAGGATTTTGCTGTAAAAACAATAACTTTAAAACTTTATTAACATTTGCGTCACATAGGAGAAAGATTAAATCTACAGCAAGGCTCCTGCGGGCTATAACACTGTAACTTACCGCCCAGAAATAATAGGGCTGTAAAGCACTAAAGTATAAGCTGAAGGTCAGCTAAGAGCCGTTAATTACTTCCCAAACTGCGGTTTATTTGCAGGGTCGGTTATCTACCTGAACACTCCATGTTTAAGTTTGGTACCGTCTGAAATGGATTGTCATAAAATGCAACGTTGTCTATATATTTTACCCATCTCTATATAAGTATTTGAAATTTATGATCATTAATTCATTTGATCTGTTAACAAACCGTTTGTGACCAGCTTTAGCTACATACCTACTGTATAAAATATAATTAATATTTGTTTTTTTCCCAATATATATCCTCAACTTTAGTACAGTCAAATCCGTCTTTTTGTCGGACAAAATTCGCAACAAAGCGATTTTAACGGGATATGGTCGGGACAGGTCCCAGGATTCATTCCAGAGAGTTCCCAAAATCCTCGACTTCAGGAAAATCCACAGTTACCACTTTTTTACCACCTTTTTACCACTTTGGTTTTCCGCAAATAAGTCACGTTCTGAATATCCTAGAAGATTCTAGTTTAAAGCATTGTGTTAAGAAAACAAAGAAGAACAACTTTTTCTTTAACAACGTTTTCAAAAATAAATTATTTATTTAATTAATTAAATAATTAATAAATTTTAAAATATTTCAAAAATACATTTTCATGAAAAATGTTCACAATTACATTCCACGAATATTGAACTAATTTCTATGAAAATTTTGAAAATTTTCACTAACAATATTTTGAACTTGTAAAATTTACGAAATTTGAGAAGAAAAACCACTATTTACCACTTTTTACCACATTGAATCTCCGCTAAAAAAACGACTTCTGAATATCGTAGAAGGTTCTAGATTGAACCAATGTGTTCAAAATATAAAGAGAACAAAGTTTTATCTGACAACCTTTGGATTAGATAATTAATTAATTAGTTAATTCGATTATTAAACAAATATCCAAAAATTATAAAAATTATTTTTGATCAAAATATTTTAAAATTACATATCACGAATAATTAACAAATTTCCATTAAATTAATCGGGAAATCGAAGTAGTACTTTATATAACCATATATATACTAGATAACAGTCTAACTTATGAGTCCTCAGCTGGCACATTGCTGCAATTGTCCTGACATTTGAGGCAGGTTGATCCACAATGTATTCCTGCTTTTCTGCATGAACAAGCATTGCCACAACCTGACTTTAAACATTTGCAACTGATTTTTTGAATGAGCTTTTTCGGAGCTGTACTCATAAGAGTGGTCACTGGTACATGTGTCCCATTGTTCATCTTCCATCCCAGCTTATCGGATCTAGGTCATTCTCATCCCACACCTGCTGCTGATGGTAAACACGATAAGAATGTTGGCGGGAGCTGTTCGCACTTGATGTCTGCTGTTGAAGATTGCGACTTCTGTTCAAGAACTGAAAGTCTTGCTTCATCTAGTGATCTCGATTTTTATGAAATCAGCTATTCTTAACCAATACAATGTTTTAATTTACCAGGCAAATGAGGAGTTAGTTTCGGTGAATAGCTTTAAGAGGGCGAATGATCGACAATGTAAATTTGCATGGAATGAAATATGGAAAGGGTTGCTGTCCTCAGGTACTATTTAAACTATTTATCTTTTAAGTAAGTGCACTAACTTTTAAACTATGCCCAGCAAATTTGAAACGGATACGTACAGTCCTATTCTTTATCCTGACGCCTCTCATACCTTGTATAAATAAAGAAATCAACGCACCACAGGTTGGATCAACAACCCCTGGTCACTGAACGAAATTAAACGGCAGTACAACGGCATGACTGATTCAGCTCTGAGTGACGTCTTGTGTGTATTATTGCAGACAGTGACCATAGACCAGTTCCAAAGATTCATATCTAGCCTAGCGGTTAGAGCATCCGCCTTCTGCGCAGAGGTTCAGGGTTCGAATCCCAGTGTCACCTAGTCTAGGGAGTAGCTAAGGATCCATTGGATCTAAGGGATCTCAACGGTCGACTCAACCGAATGATAGGAAACTTAATTGAGGTTTAAATGAGGCGGGGCACCTGTTAAAAGTTCAAGCAACTAGGATACCCCTTCAGTGCATACTGTAAACATAGTGCTGTTAACTATTATATCGGCCAATGAAGAGGAGTTCGTTGTAACTGAGACAGGACCATCTTTAGTCCGCGAACACAGTTTAAACAAATGTCCATTCTGTAACGTAGAGATCGCACTAAATGATAAATCCTCAAACCGGATTACAGACAGGGTAAATTATTGTGCGGGGGAGGGGGGAGGTGGTATAGTACACATACGTTAGGCTCTTACTAAGTTCCTAATTCGCTCGCCCAAAAATTTCTCGTGACTTTCTCCGTAGCTTAGTGCACTAGATACCCACTATCGGAATCGTTCTGAATAGCCGATCCTTACCAACTCCGTGGATCCGACTGGTGGTGTCTGATCCAGTGAAAGCGTGGCACAGAAATCGTGCAGAAAGCCCAATTACGGTATCCTAGCACCCTGTCACGTGATAAGCAATTAGGTAATCATTGATAACCCAATCAATTTCGCTAACGAGATAAACAAATTGCTTGATAACTTCGTCATTTTCAATCCGTTTCGCACATCGTTTTGCAGATGTTTTGATTTGCAGAGAGGCAGTTCTGTGGTCTAATCCAGTTGATGTTTCTGTAAGTCGAGAGATATGATGTGTAAATATTTATAAATAAGCTATAATAGTATCGTACAAATTTTG